ATCATTCCATTCTCTCTTAGCCTGTATGTTTCTGCTGAGATATCTACTTTTAGTCTGCTCAAGGCTGACTAGATTACTTTTCCTTCTGTTTATTTTAGAATTTTCTCTTTATCTTTGACTTTAGATAGCTTGACTATAATGTGCTATGGAAAAGGCCTTTAGCGTTGAATCTGTTTTGGGATTGTGAGGTCTCCTCAATCTAGATGTCTAAATCTCTTGGTAGACTTGGGAAGATTTCACCTCTTATTCAGTTAAATAATTTTTTGAACTTTTTCATTCACTTTTTACCTTTAGGGATACCAATAATTCATGTATTTGGTCACTTTATGGTGTCACATATATCACAGAGACTTTGTTTATTCTTTTAAAAAATTTTTTTCTTTGTTTTTGTCTGAGTTATATCAAAAGACCTGTATTAAGGTTCTGAGATTCTTTTGTTGTTGTTGTTGTTTTAATTTATTGTTTAAACTCTTGATTGTACTTTTTATTTAATTAAAGGAGTTCTTCGATTCCAGATTTTGTTTGGTTCTTTGGTATGATATGTGTCTCTTTGATAAATTTCTCATTCATATCTTGAATTTTTTTCTGATATTGTGTATTGTTTTTGAAATTCTCTTGTATATCATTGTGTTTCTTTAGTGTCATAATTTTGATTTTTTTCCCCATGATTTCACACATTTCTTTTTGATTGGGATATGTTACTGGGGAATGATTGTGTTCCTTTGTAAGTGTCATATTTCCCTATTTTTTCATATTTCCTTACATTGATAACTGTGTATCTGGTGTAATAGAAATGCATTCTAATTTTTTGAATTTGCATTCACAGTGGAGGATTTTTTCCTGAAGATATATCCATAGTGTTGGTTAGTAGGGCCCTTTGTTTTTGATTCTGAGTACATGCGGTTGTGCAATCCTTATACAATTTCTTTGGCTGTAAACAGCTTCAGTGTTATCTGTGATTTCTCATTGGTTTAGGGTATGGTTAAAAGTGGAGGCTGTGGGGAAATTTGGCTGGGGACAGGGATTCTAGATGGGTTAGTCTTTGATTCCCAGTGGTGGCAGCAGTGGGATGAGTATTCCTGTTCTTCTGGCCCCTACAAGATACTTGCTCTGGTATTGGCAGGAGCAGGCAGGCCAATTCTTGGGCCTCTAGGTATTCTGCTTAGCTCCTGATAGTGACAGTGGTGGACCAGGCAGGTGAGTGATTTCTTGGTTCCCTGGGTAGGTGGCATGGTGTGGGTAGTAGTAGTAGCAGTGGTGGGACAACCTTCTGGGTCCTGAGCAGTGCATACTGATGTTGGAGATGGTGACAATGCAGTCTCCACCCACAGCCCCAGTCATGCAGCTTTCAGACTTGCTTATTCTCAGTTGTAGCAGCACTGCAGTGCTACACATAAAGGTAAGGAGCCCTTCTCTTTGCACATGAACTGATCGTGGAAGTCATTCCACCAGTGGGAGTGTGGTCACCATGCAGGGCCAGAAAGGAGCCATTAGGTTCACCTTCCCTAGCTTCTAGTGGCAGCAGCAGTGGCTGAGCCTGCAGAGGTATGCAGAGTGGGAGAGGGTGTCCCTGTGCATGAGCCTAAACATGGAGGCCACTCCACCAGTGGAGTGGGATCACTGCCCTCAGCCCCAGGTAGCTGGCTTCCATTTGGGTTCCCAGTGGCAGCAACTTCCATTTGGGATGGTGAGTGGCACAAATGGAATCTCACTCTCTGCTCACAAGCCTGAACACAGAGTGTATGCTGCTGCTGGGGCAGGATTTCTTCTCATAGCCCCAGACAGGAAGCTGTCAGGCTCTGGAAAGTGTGTGCTTTTGTTTTCTTTGATCCAGGAACTGCCATGTTAGTGTACTGTGCCGTATCTTTTCTGGAAGTAGTACTGCTTGTGGGCCACAGTACTGGGGCCCTGTAGCACCTTTGTGTCCAGCAGTACTCTGTCATTGTAGCCCCCTGGGTAGACACTGAGGAATGTCTGTGGGGGCTCCTGGGATATAGAGATACAAAGGCTATGTTTCTAAAGGGAGGATACAGCCCCATGATGGCTGTGCTTTCACAATGGTACCCTGCTGTAGTTGCTTAGGTCTCAGGGGTGTGAGTGAACCAGCACAAGTTCTCTGCCTGGTGCAATGCCCTTGTGGGGTGTCTAGCTCACTATCCATGTTAGTGTCAGAACCTAAGTGGGTAGAGCAGCTCTGCCATGGTTCAGATTGTAGCAATTCATGGTAGGAACATAGACCCACTGAAATTTTCACACCCGTTCCCCCAATAGCAAATCCCTATGTATTCTCAGATGATTTTACTTCCCTTCTATATTAGTTCATTCTCACACTGCTGTAAAAGAGTACCTGAGACTGGGTAATTTGTGAAGAAAAGAGGTTTAATATTCTCACAGTTTCACAGGCTTAACAGGAAGCATGACGGGGAGGTCCCAAAGAGCTTATAATGATGGCAGAAAGTGAAGGAGAAGCAAGCACATCTTCACATGTCAAAGCAGGAGAGAGAGTAAAAGGGGAAGTGCCACACACTATCAAACAAGATCTCAGGAGAACTCACTATCTCAAGAACTGTAGAGGGGAAGTCTACACCCATGATCCAATCACCTCTCACTGGGCCCCTCTCCCAGCACCTGAGATGATAGTTTGAAATGAGATTTGGGTGGGAACACAGAGCCAAACCACATCACCTCTGTGCCAGAGGTGTTTCCCGTAAGTTCTCTGTTGGACTCCAGTGTTCCCTCCTAGTTGTTCTATCTGCGGTGTGATTATTGATTCATAATTGTCGTTCTTCTTTCTGGAGAGAGGGAGTATGCAGATTTACTAATTTTTAAAATTAGTAAGCTTTAAGCTTGCTCTTTATTGTTCTAGCTAATATAAACTGTCTTGTGGAAATAAGCACGCCCTTTATCTATAAGCACTTTGAACTCAAGAAGCAAGAAACCATTTCAGTTGTCCTCCTTGCCTTTGCAGGGTTTTCATTATGTATCTGAAAGACTATTGGAAACCTCTCTTTTGCTTTTCTTTTGACAGAATGCTTTATTAAAGGGTATTATCATAGAGGCATCACCCACTGTAGGTGCGTTGTTTTGTTCTCCTTTGGAGAAGTAGCTCAGGGTTGAATAGATCCAGAGATACATGATCCCCAAATATTATTTTCTTTGTATTTTATTTACATTCTTTCCTTCCTATCTAGCTCTAAGTGTACAATATTCTTAATTATTGAATTCTGCCTACAGAAGTATACAGAATAACATATGAGCAACAGCAGTTTTATATATATTAGATAGAAATGTAAGTGGTGCTCCTCGAGATTCTATGCAAGAACATAAAACATGTAACTATTAAAATACAAACATAATAAATATCCAGCCTTCAATTTCATAGTCAGCTAAAAGGGTCAGAAAAAAGAGGAAAGATGGAAATAGAAAGAGAGAAGAAGGAGGTAAAGGTCAAATGAAGGAGATATGGGAGAGCTGAGAAAGAGAAACTAACAAGCAGAAATTCAATGTAGGAGGCAAAGCTTGAGTTGTCAAACAACAAAGAGAATATGTACACAAATAATACATGAAGAACGATACATAGAAAGTCCAATATACAATATGGAAAGGTAGATTTGTCAATAAAAATTTGGCCTTCAAGAATATTAAGATGAAAGCTTTTAAAACCATTTTTCGAGTATAGCTATAACTAAAGTTAGTCTCTAGGCCAGGTGAAATTTTGACCAGATTGAGGTATAAAAATAGATGTTATTCATACTGACATTCTTTTCTTGTATTTTCTATTTTGTTTCCTATTACATTTTTGAATATTATATTCCTTTCAGTATTTTTATCTCATCCTTGTAAAATACTAAATTATCCCCCTTCTGATTAGCTATTCATTTATTGTCTATATCTATGAAGTAGTTTCCTTTAATTCTGTATTTTAATATTCTTTTAATTTTTTTCACATTTAATTTCAGTCTCTTAGAGAAACACAATACTATAATAAAGTTGTCTATATCTTTGAAGAGATGTCTTGGGCATACCCTATAAACATGTTATTTTTACATACCTTATAAGTCTACAAATAGTATATAGTTTATACTTTATGAATACATTTATAAATAGTAATAATGTATTCTCAAAATTTATTTGTAATAATAGAGGGTTGTAAGAAAAAAAAATTGGAAATAACTGCCATACTAGAAAGCTCATGGCTTTTGGAGCAATATATACATTCCTGGGTTCAAATTCCAGTAATGTTCCTTATTTGCTTCATAGTGTTGGATGAAGCACTGAGATTTCATTAGATTTATCTTTTTAATTTTATTTTCTTTTTATATGTGTATCTAATGATACTCTGCATTTCTGTTAAGAGAATTTGGAGATACACACACACACACACAGGATAGTGACAGCCATTGCTGTTATTTGGGTCTTCTCCGTAATTCAGCAACTTGTATTCTGTTTATTTCTGTAGTTAATTTGTTTTTTCTATTTTTCTGTAAAATGTTGCAGATTATATATTTTTGCAGACATTCTATTTTATGTATTCTGTGTGAAACAAACTATATTTTTACTAATCTTACAGAAGTAAGATTTTGCATTGCTTATTTAATAATGACTGTGAGAGGTCTTTTTTCCTGAGGGAATATGGAGCTTAGCACAGCATACTATGAAGAAGGAGGATAGTTTTCAACACTGACTAACGCAATGGTTCTCGAATTGTTTTGACTGAGACACATAGAAAGAAATATCTTTTGCATTGCAATCAGCTAATATAATATACACTCACTTATATACTGAAACAAGAAATTGTACAACAAACTATGTTTTTTCTTCTCTTTTATTTTATTTAAAAATATCTCAATTGATTTCATGACTCCTTTAAGGGGCATGACTTGCAATTTTAAAAACACTGTAATAATAAAATGTAATAATAAAATGGTTGATTTTTCTTATGGATTTTAAACATTTATTGATGCAACACAAACACGCGTTTTTCTTTTCTCTTTTGACAGATTGGCTATTTGGTCTTCTTACGGCTTTTTATATTTTTCCTGCATGGTCACCTAGAAAGTTTTAAACAACATTTACTTAGGCTTCAACCATATTTATATGGTAGGATATCTTTTATTTTTTGTACTTATGAATGTTTTATGTTATATTTTGAGAGGCTCAGACTATCACTATAAAGAACATAAGTTGCATTTTATTTTTCGTGAAAGAGGTGTGGTGTTGAGGAGCACAGCTTCAGGGCCAGATTACATTTGTTCAGCTCCCTGTCCCCCCAACCCCATACATTTTTATTTCTTTGTAGTGAGAACATTTAAAATTTAACTCTACTTTTTTTTCCAGCAATTTTGAAAAATGCAGTATTATAAACTGCAGTCATCATGTCATGAAACAGACCACTATACCTTATTTCTTCTGTCTAACTGAAGCTTTGCACCTAATACCTACCACATCCCCAACCATCCCTGCAACCTACTCCCTGCTTTAGACACTGGTGACCCTCATTCTGTATTCTACTTTTTACTTTGCCACTTAAGTGTATGAGCTTTTTTTGTGACTCAGTTTCCTTATTTGTAATAGTGTCTACCTCCTTAGATTTCAGGAAAGTTAAATTCATACTTTAGTAAGGTTCTGGACTTGGTGATCAACTGAATCTAAGCAATATGTAAAGAAGAGTGAAGAATTCAAGTGGGAGCTGAAGTTTTGCATATTGAGTAATAGCATGAGACAATGATAGTCTGAACTAGGAAAAATTTGGAGAAATATTGGTTGTATTGAATTTGAAGGTCACTCAGGTATATATACCCAGCAAGCTATTGAGAACATAGGTTTGGAACTAGGGAAATAAGTGAAGCCTGCCTGGACTATGGAATTGACAGTCATTTACATTAATATGGCTGAGGGTGAGGGGCAGGGAGAAACTAATTCCAGTAATGAAATCTTGGGAAACATACACATTTAATGGATTATTGGTGTAACAGAGCTCAGTAAAGGAGAAATAAGAGAGATAAGAGGGAGTGATTATGTTTAAGGACAGAAATTCAAGATCAACATTGCCATAGAAATATTACATAGTAGAAGGTCTGACAAATAATGGTAAGTTTCTGCAATCAGAAAATCACTGCTGATCTTGGGAGCATACCCAGTGGAGAGGTGGAAGCAGAATTCAGATTGGAGGTAAACAAACAGTGAGGGAAAATTTAAGCATAAGGCAAAGATTGTGACCTATTTCAGAAAAAGCTTAGCTATAAATATTTATGCTGATATGTAAATATGTCAATAGTTTAAGTGGAAAACCAAAGTCAAAATATTAGTATGTTGTAGGATAAGGAAAGGAAGGATTCAAGATAAAGAAAGGGAATAATATTTGATGAAAAAGTCATGGTGGATGGAACCATGACCAAGAGAATAGCAGAAGTGTTTTGGAGACTTATCAGCTAGTACCATTAGCGTACGTACCGATCAGATGTAGCTGTAGACAGACAGAATAGGAATTCTTGTCTAACATTTCACTTGTTTTTATATCTTCATTAAATTATACAACTTCTTAACTCCTCATGGTGTTTGGCATAGTGGATTATCAAATATTCAGATGATTACAACAAATACACTTTGAAAAATTATTTGAGTAAAAACCTCAAGTTCTCATATTAGCTTGTTATCGAGGATATACACCCCTAGTCTTTCTTTCATACGCAAGAATAAAATCCCCAGTTGTGCCCTCTTACCAACTATCGTAGAGGCTTAGGGTACAGCTTTACCTTTAACAATAGGCTGTTTTCTACTGAAGCTATCAGCAACTCTACCTCTCCACATAGCTGTCCAGTAGAATGGTCATTATTGATTTTTCCATTGCGTGGATGGATTAAAACCCAAAGTGTGTCTTAAAAACTTTTTTATAGAAAGAGCAGCACTGAGATGGTTTTATTAAATATAACATGGTGTTATGTTAAATTACATTGTTGTAGCCTATGTTTAAAATATTTATTTTCAAAACTAAATAATAACATCTTGAGAAGGAATAAAACTGGAGAATGTTGGTCTAGAATCAATGACATTGATTTGTTTGTAGAATTACAATGTCAAAGTATCCATTATGAATACAGCATCTATTATAACTTGATTTATTTTCATCTGGAAGCTTCCAAGCATTGTTGAACAGTAACTGTATTTAATTGGGCATTCAATGATTATGAAATTGCTGTTCTGAATTATATAAACTCTTGTGTATAAATTATTTACCATCTAGTTTTCTATTACACCACCAGGGGGCATACATAACATTATAAATCTTAAATACAAAACTACAGCGGTTTCTGCATCTAAATACTGAATTTAATTATAGTTTAATAGCTAAAAGACAAATGAAACACAATGCCAAACATTAATGAAATATTTCTCACAAATGATTTTTCTTACAATAGCACTTTCTTTCTCTGGAGAATCATATTACAAGTATCCAAACATCTTTTCAAATGTGCAATTCATCCTGAAAGCCTCGGAAATTATAGATAAAAGAGAACTCCGCTCTGAATCAATTTTTAGCCCTGTGGAAAATGAAAAAAGATATGAGAAAACAGATTCTGATATGGTGGGTAATCTGGTATGGTGGGTATATCCTGTTGCATGATGCATCAGATATGATTACTATGATTAAATAATGGTGCTTATCAATACAGTAGGCATTGAGGAATGATGAGTTTAGCTGTAGGAGAGGGGTGAACAGCAAAGACATGAATTTCATGCAACCAAATGCACATTTCCTGGACAGTAGTTAATAGGATGAGTAGTGAGGTATCAATATATACTACTACTACTTTAAATGGAGTAATGCCATAATACCTTCTTCTTCATAAGTTCCATCTCACCTACTTAATTAAAAATTGCAACAGAATTGAAACTGACTTGTAAATTAACATTTTAAGATATTATATTTTTGTTAAAGGGAAAGTATGTAAAGGTCAAATTATTTACGAAAGCAAGTATATTATTTTGATGCTTTCATAATTCATATGAAATAACATTTAATGGCTGGGTTTAATTACATTTAATATTTAATAACATTTAATAACATTACAGACATGAGCCACCGGACTTTGGGAGGCCTAGGCAGGCAGATCACCTGAGGTCAGGAATTCGAGACCAGCCTGACCAACATGGAGAAACCCCATCTCTACTAAAAATAGAAAATCAGCAGGACGTAGTGGCACATGCCTGTAATCCTAGCTACTTGGGAGACTGAGGCAGGAGAATCACTTGAACTGGGAGGCGGAGATTGCGGTGAGTTGAGACGGCACCATTGCACTCCAGCCTGGGCGACAAAAGCAAAACTGCGTCTCAAAAGAAAAAAAAAGAAATAAGATTTAATATGCTATTAAAATCAACCAAAAACTTTAAAAAATAGTTTAAATTATGAAATAATAATCTTTAGATTATGATAAATCTCTTAATTTCTAACTCAGATATTAATAATCCTTTAAAAATTGTCCTAATTATATAATTTGTTTGTATATAATAAACTAATTATGTAAACCCAAGTACAGTGAGCCATATAATTGTGCATATGCCTTATAGATTAATACACTTCAAAAGACAACTTTTAATTTCTGGGGCCAATAATGCCTTTCTTTCCTCACGTATTTTCCAAAAAAGAACAGTAAGCATTTCAAAACCTTCTTTTATTTTTTGTTAAACATATTTATTATTTGGTAGTTTACAAATGGAAAATTTGTGTTTCTAGCAACTTCTAAAAAAGGAAAAATACATTTAACATAATGCAAGTTGAAACACTTAAGGAAATTAAAAGAAGATTCCCTTTTTAAATATTATCTGTTACCTTATAATTTTCCCATGCTTCCTGTGAGTCCTTTCTAAAATCAGCTATAAATTAAATATATAAGAAAAAAACATTCAAACACATGTATTTGTAGTCTTTCCAGGCCTAAGTGTTTTCTTTTTGGCATATTACCAGTTCACCATTTATATAACAAGTGACATTTACCAAGTAAATTGAGCCTTCTGGTTATAATTACTAATGAGCACAAATTGCCTCATGTGAGAAAGGGATCTGTTTTTAAGTTTGAAAAATGTTTTAACAGTAAATATGTGATGTAAGATACTGAGCAACAGAAAGAGCACCGGTCATGAAGAGAACAGACCTGCTTATGAAATGGTTCTGTGATCTAGGAAAGGTCCATCAGTCTTGCCAAACTTCCACTTACATGTCTTTAAAAAGTCATCATTATTGTCATATTCATCATCATCATCATCAATCTGCCATAACCCTTCTACAGGGTTGTTATAAAGATTGCAAAAAAAGCATGTGTTTGTAAAATTGTTAGATGCCATGCAAACATGAATAATAATTGTTGAGGAATGTATTTAGGACCTCACTTAACCCTTGACAGTGAACTATAATATTTTCATCTAAGGACGTTAAGTATTTTGACTTAATGTAGTGATTGAAATGTTTTTCCTTTAAGCAAATAAGAGTCCATGAAATCTTAGCAACGTGAATGCTCTGGCTATGAAGTAGGCAATTGTCAGTGTTGATTCTGATGCTCTTTAAGAATGAATCCATTTTGTCACTCTTGGTGCACACACAAAGCAAGCAAATGGAAGCTTACTGCTGTACAGCTCAGCCTGAATCGGAAGGGGCAAAAATGTCAATACATTAAAGGAACATATCGGCTTAGAGTAGGACAAGTCACGAAATCTCTCTGTGCCTTTTTCTGCTTTGTAGAACAAAGCTTAGATTCAATCTCTTCTAAATTCTATTTCAGCTCTATCCATGTGATTCTGTAAGGGGATTATAACAGAGTTTGGCCTATCAGGTTTATCGCCCTTCTTTTTCTCCTCCTCTTATCTCATAATATAAAGACTATAAATATAGGATAGCGTAGCCCTAGTGCTGCTAAAATTGCTGATTTGGCTAATCAGCACTCAGTCAGTGCTTGACTCACGTCTTAAAGTTTCCCAGTTTCAGCCCAATTTCTCCAGTACAGCCAGCCCTTCCAGTTCAGTTGAGTATTTACTCGTTCAATACCCATCTCTGTCACCTGGGAAAGGAAAGAGGAAAAAGATGTAAAAATGATAGAAATGGAAATATAAGGGCCGGGCGCGGTGGCTCAAACCTGTAATCCCAGCACTTTGGGAGGCCGAGGCGGGTGGATCACGAGGTCAAGAGATCGAGACCATCCTGATCAACATGGTGAAACCCCGTCTCTACTAAAATACAAAAAATTAGCTGGGCATGGTGGCACGTGCCTGTAATCCCAGCTACTCAGGAGGCTGAGGCAGGAGAATTGCCTGAACCCAGGAGGCAGAGGTTGCGGTGAGCCGAGATCGTGCCATTGCATTCCAGCCTGGGTAACAAGAGCGAAACTCCATCTCACAAAAAAAAAAAAAAAAAAAAAAAAAAGAAATGGAAATATAAAAGACATTTGCATCAATCTCTTCGTCTTTCCTCATGATTATTTTAGTATATTATAGCAGAGGATTTGTGAATTTATTCTTACAGCCCTTATTATTTGATAATGCTAAAAGTTTCATAGCAGCATACTTTGGCCCCTGTAAAGTATTTGATTTTTAATGTTCTTACTTGCATTGAAATAAAAGCATAATTACTTCATTTGTTGTCAAAGTGCTACCAAAATTGCATTGGAAATTTTATAGGATATTATGGTACGTTACGATACATACCATGTGAGCATAGGTTCCAGTTAAGAATAGGAAATTTCCTTTCCTCTGCTGTTGGACCCCATTTCTCTTTTTAATGCCTTTTTACGTGATCCAGACACAGGGTTTCCATTGACTTTGACAAATGGTGCACTTAATTAGCTCTTTTAGCAAGGCCAGAATGCTGGATTGAGTTTCTCATTCTGTCCTTTGCTCACAAGCAAAGCTGAATTTTCTAAGCAGAGTTGCCATATAGTAGTAATAACAGTTCTTTGGAGCAGATAGACTTAAACCCTGCTGCAATGCAGTAGGCCTTTTCTTAAATAGTTTCATCTGTTCCAAAGTACAAATAGTTCTCTGAAAACTAGCAAACACAGTTTACATTTTAGTGTGATTAGCAATCTCATCCTCTAACACTTTAAGTGTTAGAGGCATTACCTAAATTTGGGACATTTTGTGGTATCCTATAATGGTAAATGGTTACTAAGAATTATTAGACTGAGACATAAATTCCTTAAAATTAGGAGCATTATTCTATGATTCACGTCATATTATCCAGGTAACACTGTGTACTGAGAGATCCTTTCATGGCAATATCAACCATCCCCAAAATGACTGAAAACTAAAACTACTTGAAACCCAGAAAGCTGTCCCTGAGCAGCCAAAATAGAGCCCATGCTTTAAAGCTCATTTCTGTTATAAAAGAGAGCCTAGTCAGACACTCAGAATTTATGTATAAATTTGCATAACATTTAAGCTGGTGTTGTTATCTGAATTTTCAGCCAACAGTAGATTAACAACACTTTTGTAGGTGGGCTTCTCAAAGTAGGCATCCTTCCAGCTACAAAGCTGAACAGCAAGGGAGGGAGATGAAAGAACTGTGGAAAGTGGTTATAAAAGCCAAAAAAGAAAGGAAGGGAGGGGGTTAAGGAGGGAGAAAACAAAGAGAGGGAGGGAGGGAGAGAAAGAAGAAAAAGAGGGAGGGGACAAAAGTTCTCTGGGAGTCATTTAAGGCAGTGCTCAGTGCTTTTCAAACTGTGGTAAAAGATCTTCCCTAATTTATGTTTACATTTCCAAACCATCAAGATAATTTTGTAAAATATAACAATAACGAATTATTGAAAACTAAAATAGAGAAGACATAAAAATATAAGCTTTAATTTATAATAGACTGAATATATATAATTACTTTGTCAAAATTGGTATGAAAGCTTCTAAATATATATTTTTCATTTTTGTGCTCTCATTAACAGTTTGCAAATGGCAGTTATCTGCCAACCACACCTTGAGCAGGACTGACTTAGTGTAAAGGCACAGAACTCCAAGAGAAAGCAACATTGCTCACTCTTGGTCTTCTGCACTAATGATATATGTGATGATTGTATTAAATCACATAATCATCATCATTATATTAATTCATCCAAGTTTAATAAATTTATTTTTTCTTTGGAGAATTTTCTTGCTAAAGAGTATGCCATGTGTGGTATACTATAATCCCAGCACTTTGGGAGGCCAAGGCAGGTGGATCACCTGAGGTCAGGAGTTTGAGACCAGCCTAAACAAAATGGTGAAACCCAGTCTCTACTAAAAATACAAAAGTTATCTGGGTATGGTGGTGGGCACCTGTAATCCCAGCTACTCGGGAGGCTGAGACAGAAGAATTACTTGAACTCGGGAGGTGGAGGTTGCAGTGAGCGGAGATCGTGCCACTGCACTCCAGCCTGGGCAACAGAGCGAGACTGTCTCATTAAAAAAAAAAAAAAAAAAAAAAAAAAGAATGCTTGAAATACATAAAATTCCTGAGACTAAATAATAAGCCCCACCTGTCAGGAAGGGTTTATTACTTGGACAGAGAAAAAGAGAGAGAGAGAGAGAGAGAGAGAGAGAGAGAGAGAGAGAGAGAATACATACCACAAGGAACTATGGGATATCTTCATAAGATTGTGTTAGAAGCAATCTACTATAGCATTTGGACCTTATTTGGATGATCTTGGGAAGAGTCTAAGGAAGGAAGAATTTTCTCTAGAGGTTTGATCCTGTCAAAAAGTGGGGCAATTCTGTGATTCGGTATTTTGTGGGTGGCCAAGTGACTTTGTTTATATCTGTGCTTAGAAAAAAATTGTCAAGTGACTTTATTTATTATGGTCTCAGAGTAATATTGTCTGAAATTGCTATTTTGTGAGTTTATGTACAACAGGAGATCAAAATAACCTGGCTGTGCATATCAGACCAGCTTGTAATAGTATTTCAAATCAGTCCCAGATGTAAGAGGATGCTTTTTAATTTCTCCACAATGTGTAAAATTGACATAATGTAAAATTGAAGATAAAACTTAAATCTTGTTCATTGTCTAAGTCCTGATTTTTTTCTTTACTAAATACATTTGAAATTTTCTCTGATGATAGTACGTAAATACATTAATGCCAGAATGGTTGACCTAATTGAATTGTTCATATAGTCCTGCAATATCTATGATTAAAATAATATTTATTATAAATTAGCCAGTCAAGTCATTCCAAGGTTTTAAAACATATTTAAAGTAAGTTTCCAATCTGAGGACTGTCAGGCATCCAGGCTGAGACAACTAGAGCAATTTGAGAAAATAATTATTTATATGGGTTCCAGTTTTGGGATAGACTCTACCACAAAGCAGAAAATTGAGTTATATGTGGATTTATTGAAGTCAATATGTCTCCGACTGATGCTTGACATTATTTTAGAATAGAGCTTTTCTGTGGTGTATTCTAACACTCTAAACACTGAATTGTTTTCATTTGCTCTTCTGAATTACTGTTCCCAGAGTCAGTAGCCTTGTGCAGACATTGTCTTTCTCATGCCTTTATCTCCAGAATCTAACAGTGTTCCTGGGATAAAGTAGATAAATACACATCTCTAAGACATAACTAAACATTATGTTAGAAACTTAAAGTATCTTAGCTTAAAATTTATGTATAAACTTCTGGTCTTCTATCTAAAGAGTACTCAACATAAAAATTTAATAAATAAGAATGATGACACCCTATAGAGTCATTTTAACATAAAATCACAGAATATCAACTAAATTAACAATTCAAGTGCATATTACAGAATATGTATTTGAAACTTCACTGCTGGCAAAAACTCAGAGTGCTATGTCATTTTCTACCAGTTACTTTAGTAGACCAATTAAATGTATAAAAGTGTTGCGAAGTACTCTAAGAAAAAAACTAAACAACAGCTTATTTGTTATCTGAATTTTTAGGCTATAAGACATTGACGATGTCTTGCTAGGCATGTATTTTGGTCCTTAAAGTAGAAATCCACATTTTAAAACATACTATGCTATTAGAGTTTTGTTCAAACTTTCCCAATTCCTTCTTTCTCAAGTGTCAGGGAGAACTAAGTCACATGAATCTACGAACCACAAGTTGTGTCAAATAGCTATCCCTTATGGGATGCAGAAATTTTGCCATATTGTAGAGCTGATATCATTGAACACAAGGGACTCATGTGAAAAATATATACATTAGGTTCAGGTTAACTGTATATACTTCAAAAATATATTTATGTAAATTGCTCCACTTGGTGAAATATAAAGAGTAAGAGAATATGCATTTTCATTTGGATATTTAAAATTTATTTTCATGTTTGTTCAAGTCAAAGAACTCTTTCTCACATATATTTTTATATTTTAATTCCCAAAACATTTGCAATTTAATCAGGGAGTATATGAAATTAACCACCTGCTCTGGCACTGTGTTGCTGCTTGGTCTTGTGTTCAGAATAACAGTCCTCAGTTGAATAACGTGCTTGAACATCTCATCTTCCATAAAACACAGCTTCAAAAGAAATGCTGGTAAGAGTGATCCTATAAATCCAACGTAACTCATGGAGAAATCTTTGTGCTTAAATGTTAAATAACCTTTGTATCTAAATGTTAATCACACCTCAGTTGACTATGAAACAAATGTGTAATCTCGGTTCCAAAGGCAAGGGCAATTTACATGTTTAGTATTAATTCATTTCATCAATACATTGTTTCTCTCTTTTTCTGTTTTGCTAGATGTACATGCATGCATTGCATAGTTTATTTTATTAAATGCAATTTTTTATTGACAAGAAGTTTATTTCTGCATTGCAAATAGCCTTTATATTCTAAGTTGTTAAACAAAAGCAGTGAAGTACAATATATTATTGGAAAAAATATACTGATACTGTGTTTATGCCTTATTGTAATGTATAACAAAATATACTGATTTTATATTTTGTTATATATTACAATATTTTTATACTTTTATATTATTATATTTTTTATATTTTTATGTATTTTATATTTTAAAATATATATTATAAAATATATTCTATATATCTTTTATATTTTTATATTTTATATTCTATATTTTAAATATACTGATACTGTATTTATGCCTTATTTTAATGTATAACAGAACTGAATCTTAAAAAAAAAATTTTTTTTTTTCACTCTATCACCCAGGCTGGAATGCAGTGTAGTGATCTTAGCTTATTGCAACCTCCATCCCCTGGCTCAAGTGATCCTCCCAGCTCAGCCTCCCAAGTAGCTGGGACCACAGGCGTACACCACCATGCCAGCTATTTTTGTTGTTATTGTTGTTGTTGTTGTTTTAGTAGTGACAAGGTCTCGCCATGTTGCCTAGGCTGGTCTCCAACTCCTGAGCCCAAGTGATCTGCCCACCTAGGCCTCCCAAAGTGCTGAGATTACAGGTGTGAGTCACTGCACCCAGACAAAAATAAATCTTGACTGATAAATATTAGTTTTCTCCTGTACATATGTTAATTTAGGATGAGAAAATGAAAAGTCATAGTTTTGGCATGAGTTCAGTGGAGGAAAGACTTTTTAAGTTGACAAATAATAATTGTATATATTTATGGGGTACAATGTGATGTTAGGATATATGTATATCTTATGGAATGAGTAAATCAAGCTTATTAACATATCCATCACTTCACATCCTTATCATTTTTTGGTGGTAAAAGCAATTAAAATTTACTCTATTAGCAATTTTGAAATATACTCTTTTTTTCTTTACCATAGTCACAATACTGTACAATAGATTACTAGATCTCATTCTTTCTATCTAACTGAAACTTTGAACTCTTTGATTGACATCTCTTCTTTTCCCCATCTTCCCTACTCCCCTACTCCCCATCCCAAGTCTTATACCATTCTATGCTCTAGTTCTACAAGTTTGGCTTTTTTAGATTCCATGTACAAGTGAGATTATACAGTATTTATCTTTCCATACTATGCTTATTTCATTTAGCATAATGCCTCCATGTCCATTCATGTTTTTATAGATGACAGAATTTTCTTCTTTTTAAAGACTGGATAGTATTCCATTGTGTATAGATATCATACTTTGTTTATCCATTCATCAATCAATGAACACTTAAGTTGATTACATATCTTGGCTATTATGAATAGTGCTGCAATCAACATGGAAATTCAGTTATTTATTCAACACACTGATTTCACTTTTTTGGGATATATATGTAGAAGTGGGATTGTTAGATCATATGGTAGTTCTATTTTCAATTTTTGAGGAATCTCCATACTGTTTTTACATTAATAATGTGAAAGGATCCCCTTTTCTCAGCATCCTCATCAACATCTGTTATCTTTCATCTTTTAGATAATAGCCATTCTAACAGGTGTGAGGTGATAGCTCGTTTTGGTTTTAATTTGCATTTTCCTTATGATTAGTGATGTTTAGCACATTTTCATCTATCCGTTGACCGTTAGTGTGTCTTTTTTTGGAGAAATGTCTGTTCAGGTCCTTTACCCATTTTTTTTCATTGGTATATTTGTTTTCTTGTTATTGAGTTGTTTCAGTTCCTTCTATATTTTAGATATTAGCCAAATGTATGGTTTGCACATATTTTCTCCAATTATGTGGGTTGTCTCTTTACTTTGTTAATGTTTCATTTTATAATTGAAGTAGTCTTTAATCCATTTTGAGTTAACTTTTCTGTGTAGTGTGAGAGAAGAGGCTAATTTAATTCTTCTGCATGTGGATTTTCACTTCTCCCAATACCACTTATTGCAGAGATTATTTTATCCCTATTGTGTATTCTTGGTAACTGTCAAAAATCAATTGACCATAAATGCTTGAATTTACTTCTGGTCTTTCTATTTTGTGCCTTTGGCAAATGTCTCTATGTGCTATTGCCATGCTGCTTTAATTACTATAGCTTTGTAATATACTTAAAAATCTAGTATTATGATGTTTCTAGCTTTTTTCGTTTTGCTCTTAAGAGACTTTTGTGGTTGCATACAAATTTTAATTTTTTTTTCTGCTTCTGTGAAGAATAACATTAAAATTTTGATATGAATTGCATTAAACCTGTAAATCACTCATTTTTCCTATCCATAAACATGGATTTTTTTCCCCATTTATTTGTTTAGGCTTTAATTTTTTCATTATTTTATATTTTTCAGTGTACAGATTTTTCACTTCCTTGGTTCAATTTATTCTTAAGTATTTTATTTTTTTATTTTTTGCTATTGTAAATGAGATTGCTTTCATAATATGTTTTTTTAGATAGTCTGTCATTAGTATATAGCAGTGCTACTGATTTTAATATGTTGATTTTTGTCATCTGCAAACTTCAACTTTACTGAATTCATTTAATGTTCTAACAGGTTTTTTTTTTTGTATTGCTTTAATGGATGTTTTAGGGTTTTCTATATATAAGAGCGTTTGGTCAGCCAACGAAAACAGTTTTACTTTCTTCTTTCCTTTTTAGATGACTTTTTTTTTTCTTTTTCTTGACTAACTGCTCTGTCTAGGCCTTTTAGTATTATGTTACACAGAAGAGGTGAGAGTGAGCATCCTTGTCTTCTTCCTGATTTTAGAGCAAAGCTTTCAACTTTTCACCATTGAGGATAATCTTAGTTGTAGGCTTGCCATATACGACCTTTATTGTCTTGAGGAATATTTCTGAGGAAATTGATCAGAGGGCATTCTTTTTTAAAGAGAATCAGAGTTTTGAATTATTTTTCAATGATAATAATAATTTGTAATGCAATACCAAGTTGAAAATGCAATTGCCATATTTCTTTCTTTCTTTAATTAATTCCTCTTTTTAAGCCTCTGGCAGCTCATTCTACACCAAAGGCCTTTGTATATGTAAATTCTAAGTCCCTCAGAATCAAATGTAGACCCTTCTAAAAGTCTGAAACACTTTTTATGAACAAAAGTTATTTTCCCACTTGTATTTGGAAGTTTGTGGGATTTCGGATTAAATAAAGATTTTTGGAGGATGGCTTAAAGCTTACCTAATTTCCTTAAAAATAACCTACTTTAGATTAGAGTTAATCAATAATTTGTTTTGTCTCATAGTCTGATGAGAGAAACCTGTTCAGTATTGCAGTTTGACAAAGATTGCGATATTTTTACATTTTAAAATAAAGAATACTATTTATAAATATGAAACTAAAATGCAAATACATCGTATTTACTACAATAGTACATAATATAACTTTATTATATTTTAATAAAGAGCTTCTATAAACACAAAAATTTAGAGGTTCTTACTGGTGCAAATTAGCCGATTCTGAAAGCTGTGGAGATTCTTTCAGACCCTTTTTAATGATAGAAAGTAAGTTGTTGGGTAGTCAAATATTTAATTTATTTCCAAGATGACAAATGACTAGAACTACTTAAGCTCTTGGAAAACTCTAACTGGATTTAGAACATAACCAAAATTTTATTTTAACATGTAAAAATAAATCTTGTATGGCTTTGTCAAATTTATTTTAAAAGTACTCTAATAATTATCAAATAAACAAGTTTAAATGATTGCCAAAACAGTAAATGTAGCTGATTAAGAATATCGAATGGTGGAAGTCAATTCTTTCTTTAACCAATTTTTAGATTTTGCTGTATTGTATTGACATCTATTTTATTTAACTTGCTAATGATTTGTGGTTAAGGTTGTAAATATTTATGTACCAGTTTTTTAAAACTTAGTATTTTATAAATTTAGAGCATTACAGACAATACAAAACCATTCTTATTTTAAAAATAAAGAAACTGAGGCCACGTTTATTAGGCTTACTGATGAGTGGAACCAGATTTTAAGAGTTTTGGTATAGCACTCTCTCCAGTGCATCATTCAACTGTCATTCTAGTTGCATTGTTAAGCAGGTAACTGCTTTGAGACAGCCTTTCGCTGAAACCTGACTTTTCTTTTTCTGGGAGGATATTGTGGAAATTATCAAGTGAAGAAGGGGATAACAGTGTTTAGACAATGCTCAATGAACAGAGGAGTAAAGTGAAAAATACAGTGACTGCTCTTAATAGAAAGGAAAACAATAATTGCTAAAAAGAGTACTGCCAAATAGTTTTGATTCTATTTTTTATATTGCCTTTTTTTATTTTATAGAAAAGTTTTAATCTTTTTTTTAAAAAATAGTAGGTTCTAGCAAAAAAAAACTATTGGCATTAAAATAATAATTTGTGTTTTTAAGTTAGCAATTTGACTAACTTTATAAAGTTGATTAAATTGATCAACTTTTAAAATTGATTTAAAAATATTTGGTATAATGATAACAATTTACAATCAACTTTTCCTTACAAAATATTTATTTATATTAAGGCCTATATAGGTTTCAAGAGGCCATTACCCAAGATAAAGTAATACAATCTGTAATATAATTACCAAAATAAAAATAGAAATGATTTTATGTTTTTAGGGAAACTTTAATATTGGTCTCATGTACTCCTAAGATACCACTGAGTACATGCAAAAAATTCAGAAAATGAACTGCATGTATTTAGAATGATAAAGAAATATTGAAGCACCAGACCCTGA